TTACAAATGGTGCTGGAAAAACTGGCTTCCCATATGCCAAAGACATACACTCTCACCATACACTAAACTAATATTGAAGTGGGTCAAAGATCTAAATATTAAAACAGAAACACTAAATCTGCTGGATGATAGAGTAGGTAGAATTCTTGAAGACATAGGTGGAGGCAAAGACTTTATGAACAAAACCCCAATCACTCAGGAAATAGCACAAAGAATCAACAACTGTGGTCTCATCCTATTAAAAAGCTTTTGCACAACAAAAGAAGCCACCAACAGAGTGAAGAGACAATGTACAGAGTGGGAGAAAATTTCTTGTCAGCTGCTCCTCAGACAAAGAGCTAGTATCTAAAATATATATAGAACTCAAAAAAATCAGACCCCCAAAATTTAAAGACCCTATCCAAAAGTAGATATCTGAAATGAACAGACACTTCTCAGACAAAGAAGTAGAAATGATGAATATATGAAAAAATGTTCAATATCCCTGGTCATTCAAGAAATATAAATAAAAACAATGCTAAGATTCCACCTCACTCCAGAAAGAATGGCTTTTATCAAGAAATCAACCAATAAAAATGCTGGTGGTGTTGTGGGGAAAAGGAACCCTTTTCCACTATTGGTGGGAGCGTAAACTGGTGCAACCACTGTGGAAATCAGGGTGCAGATTCGTCAAAAAACTAGTTTGTGGTTCCATTTGACTCAGGTATTCCTCTTCTTGGAATCTTCCCCCAAAGAATTAAAAGCATCATACCACAGCAATGTATGTATACCCATGTTTATAGCAGTACAGTTTATAAAAGCTAAATCTTAGAAACAGTCCAAATATCCATCAACTAATGAACAGATGAAGAAATTGTGGTATTTTTATATAACAGAGTACTACTCTGCCCTAAAGGATAAGCTTGAGATATTTCTAGGTAAGTAGATTCACCTTGAGACCATAGTCTGAAGTGAAATAATACACACCTATTCAAATATCACGTGGTTTCTCTGGAGAGAAACCAAAAGTATAAATAAGGACTAAAATATATAATACATATTGTGAACTAAGAAAATGTTCAAATGGGAAGGGGAACTAGAAGTGGGCAAAGGAAGGGAGAAGGAAAAAATGGAAATAATGCTTCTGTAAATAAGGAGGGGAAGAGGGGTCAAAGTAAGGGGAGGGAAAGGGGAAAAAGAATCAAGATATATCATGTACAGGTTCAAATTGTATATGATGAATGTCATCATTATGTATATCTAAAATGTATCAACAAAATTAACTTAAAAAAGAGTTTACGTATTAGGGACCCCTGGAGTCCCCAATTTCCTGCAAGGTGCTATGGTGCACGGCAGAAAGAAAGAGCAAGAGACAAAGAGCAATGCAGTGGGGATCTGGGATGGCCAGCGTTCACGGGGAACAAAGGCCATGAAGCAGCCAGAACCTCAGTATTTATTGCTTACACATAGGCCAGGGATTTAGATGAAAGGGTTGCGGCTGAACGCACGGGGGAAAATGCGTACGCAGGCACAGCTTGTAAGAGAAAGAACAAAGCATTCTTGTGTGAGGAACAGGGCAGCCAGATTCAGGTTGTGGTTAAACAGTAACCTGTTTTGTAGTCAGTTCTGGGAAGGAATTTTCTCTGGAGTCACGCAGGCCTTAACAGAGATGTTATCTCACATCTCAGCCCCACAGTGTCACTGCCCGCTTCTCCGGGCTCAGCTGCGGCTCCTGGCAAGGAGCAATGCTAGCCCAACACACCACCTGCTTGCTTCCAAGAAGACAAGTACACAGCCTCGGCCAGACTAGCTATTCAAACCGAAAGGCAATCACCTCCATACAGCCTGTACGGCTCACAAACACAATCAGATTTGGGTCTGCGGGAGGGCGACATGGTGCTCCTCCACATCGCATCAACCAAAAGCTTTGAGTATGGACTTTATCTTACTTTTCTTCTTTCATCCAGTGCTTAGAAACAGGCATTGTTCAACAAAAGTTCATTGAACCTGAAAGTTGATATTATAACAGTTAAAATGTCAAAAAAATATTCATAAATTACTTTGGGGTATTGTGAGAGATCAAAACGCTTTAGGTTTACACAAGTAATCGTAAATCCAACACATGCTCTTTTTTTTTTTTTTTTTTTTTGGTTTTTTCTCCGGTACTGGGAACCGAACTCATGACCTTGCGCTTGCCAGGCAGGCGCTTTGCCACTGAGCTAAATCCCCAGCCCCCCACATGCTCTCTTGTATACTAAATTCCAGAGCACTTAATGAGTCCTACAGAGAGAAGTAATTTAAGGGATAATTTTCCTGAGAGGCTCATATGAGAATTTAAGACTAAATAGCAGTTCACAGATTTTAAGAGGAAGCTTAACATTAGCTATACTCAATCTTAGGGGGCAGACAACAGTAATTAATAGCATGGTTTGAACAACCACAGTTTGAAAATCAAAAATTCAAAATGCTCCAAAATGTAAAACATTTTGAACACCAACATGGCAGAAACAGGAAATTCCATAACTGACCTCGTGTGATGCATTGTAGTTAAAACACAAAAGATTTTGTACAAAATTAATTACTCCAGGCTTTTTGTAGAAATGTATATGAAACAATGGAATTTTGTGGTTAGACTTGGATCCAATCCTTAAGAGATATTATGTATACGCAAATATTTTAAAATCCAAAAATATCCAAAATCCAAAACACTTCTTATCCCAAGTATTTTAGATAAGGAATACTCAACCTAAAACAATTAATTCTTTTAATATAGGTCCTACTCTTATGCCTGCTCAAAATTAACTCACTACAGAGTTAATTTCCAATTTGTAGTTATATTTAGACCACTAATTTAGATTTACCTTTTTAAAGTCTATTAATTTAACATAATCCTAAACTGGTATTTGAGAAAAAGGCGTTCCATACAGGGTATGAAAAATGAAGTTATAAAAACATGTAATCAGGACACTTCCATAAGAACAAAGACACCAGAAGCAGGACCACTTAGACCTCTAGTTGCGCAAGAGATAGCAGCATTTACAAAGTTAAAACCTGTCTTGTGACCCCTATGTGTCCACAAAGCTATTTCATTCACTGCTTTACTGCACACAGTTACCTCCTACTGCCCAGAACATGACACTCCCACCCTTGACCACCCTGGTCTGCCTTACGTAACTAAACTTCCCCATCCCTTCAGCATTTCTCTACCGTCCCTCTACTGGACTCACTAACCTGCAAGGTCAAGTAGACTCGCTGGCTGCTGTTGTGCTCCAGAACAGCTGAAGTCTAGACTCGCTTGCTGCAGAGAAGGGAGGACTCTGTACTTTTCAGGAAATCTGTTGTCTGGTGATTTCTCTAGAAATGGCTCCCCGAACAAAAGTATTCCACGTCTCCTTTCTAGAACAAAGAATTGGATGAAACACGCCGGAAGTGGTGCCAAAAGTCTGTTTCAAAATGAGGGGTGAAGGGATAAGGAAGAACTAGCTCTGCTGAGCAAACTTAGGCCCAACAGAGAGAGAAAAGGATGAAAAGTAACAACAAAAGTACATCTCGCCTCTGGGGACATCTCTATCATGGCATCTACATCTCACGGCACCTCCTCGTGGCACCTCACGAGCAGTCCTACATAGGGGTCCTGAGAGCTACCTCGTGCTGCCCTGGGGTCTTGTAATTTACAGGTCCTGCTTATTTCCCCAGCCAGCTTTGCCATGTCCTATCTGCTATTTCAAAGCCGTTTCTTCACCAACATGTCCAGACTCATACAAGATGGCATCAAAATGCTGTGTGATCAAGCCACCACCCTATAAAATCAGGCCTTGTCCTGGACCCTTCCTAGCTGGCTGACCCCTTCCTGAGCTCCTGGCTCAAATCCTTCTTGGACCTACTGTTTCAATACTCCTATTCACATTTGCCCCTTGTCTCTTCCAGACCCTGTCTAGCTTCACCCAAACACAAATGTTTCGGTCGCTTTTCAAGTGGTCACTGCCGTTCCTCACCAGTAGTTGGTATCAGCCCCACAACTTCGCCCCCAATGCGGCTTGAAGCAGCTCAGTGAGCACCCACGCTTGCATACCCAACTCCTTACCCTGTTCATTGCCCGTAAAAGGTCCGAGAAATGATAGGTCTGACTCCCACTTTGTTCCCAGCTGCCCGGGTCCCTGAGCTCCGAGAACAATCACAGCCTGTCCTACATCCTGCAGCCTAGGTAAAGGAGCACCCGGGACAACTACACATTAGCCACTGGTATGACGACCAGTTGCCTCATGACAGTTGCTATGCACCTCGTCTCATCTCACTGATTCTTGCCCTCAGCCTACAATAAAAGGTCACTTAATATACTTGAGGCAGACGTTTCCTCTCGTAGCCACTGCAGGGAGGTCTCAGAACCTCAAATCTGGACTGGCTGAGTTTTACTGGGTCATCACCGTTTACCTAACAAGTAACAAAAAGTCTTACTCAGCAGGGATGGTGGCACAGGCCTGTAATCTCAGAACTCGGGAGCAGAGGTGAAGGGCTGCAAATCTGAGCCTGGCACGGGCAGTTAGTGACATCCCAACTCAAAATAAAAATAAAGGGCTGGAGATGCGGTAAGTGCAAAGGCCTTGGTTTCAATCCCCAGTACTATTTTAAAAAGTGTTTGTCAGTGGGGTACAGTCACACATAGCTGTAATCTCAGCTACTCCAGAAGCTGAGGCAGGTGGATTGCCGAATTCAAGGTAAGCTTATGTAACTCAGCTAGAGCCTGTCTCAAAAAGTAAAAAGGGTTGGGTGTAGTTCAGTGGCAGAACTCTTTGCCTAGTATGTGTGGGGCCCTGGGTTCAATTCGCAGTGCTATAGAAAAAAAGTCTTTTTTTGTAAACTCTTCAAAATAAACATTCATCTTTTAAGAATAGAGAACCACACCTGGTGTGGTGGTACAAACCTCTAATCCCAGCTATTCAGAAAGTGGAGACAGGATTGTGAGACTGAGGCCAAACTTGACAATATAGTGAGACCTTGTCCCAAAAATCTGAGTGAATGAAGGAATGAACTGAGCCAGGCATGGGGGTGCATGCCTATAATCCTACCACTCAGGAGGCTGAGGCAGGAGCATCACCTAGCAAGATCCTGTTTTTAAAAAAAGGAATAAAGAGTTAAATAGAACCTTTATCTAAAAGGGTCACATGTAATCTAGCACTTCTTTCCTTACATTCTAGAATCTTTGAAAATTTAATCCACAATGTGAAGACCAATGAACAATGGTAACCTAAGCTAAGTGTGTTAATGGAAGTTTAACAGTCACTTCGGAAACAAATCTTTAAAGTAAAAGGGTAGCCGGGGGTATAGCTCAGTGGCACAGTGCCTGCCTGGAAAGCTCAGGATCCTGAGTTTGATTCCCAGTACCAAAAAACAAAACAACAAAACCAAAGTACAAGGGTAAAGAAATTTATTCCAAAAGAAAAGCTATAATTACAAAAGAAGCAGTCTCCTAAATTTGAATGACATCATGAAGATCAGCTGTAGTTCATGCCTAAGGATACAGGAATTTACTCCAGAATTCATGTATTTTATACTTCTAGTTGTAACACAGCTTGATAAACTCATTGGTATAAGAAAAGTAAAAAAAAAGACTTTTAAAAAAATCAATTATATGAAATAACAGTTAACGTAAAATGTCGAAGATTAAAAAGCCATACTTCTAGACAGTACAGATTAGCAGTTCAACTTTGATACGATAAATCTGTGACCATATTCTGAAGGATAAATCCATTTACAATGGTTGTCTATCCACAGACAGTGGTTTGCATGCAGGATCAAGTTCTAAATGTGATATAAAGAGTTAGACAACTGCTTGCACAGAGGAAAATCCTAGGGCAGCAGGGTAACTGTATCCTAGTGTGACCCAAAGGTTAAATGAGGACAAGAAACTTTTACTGTATATTACAAAACTGCTAGTGAACTATATTAATCAAGGCCAACATGTCAGGACATCTAAATTCCTTTCTTTGGTGTTTTCAATACAGAACCTTTAAATTTTATCCCAGGGTAAAATCTGATATGACATAAAGAGAAATAGGTTTTATTTTACTACAAAGAATAAGAGCTGAGGGGCTGGGGATTTAGCTCAGCGGCAAAGTGCCTGCCTGGCAAGTGCAAGGTCGTGAGTTCGGTTCCCGGTACCGGAGAAAAACAAAAAACAAAAAACAAACAAACAAAAAAAGAATAAGAGCTGGCAAGCTTTTCCCTTAAGGGCAGATAATAAATATTTTATGTTTTCTAGGTTACCCTGATCAGTCTGTTGCTTTGGTTTTGTTTTACAATCTTTAAAAATATAAAAACTATTCTTAGCACACTGATTAAGAAAAGAAAGTAGGCTGTTTGTTTAATCAAGCTGTTATCTACAGACTCCAACATAGAAGAAGAGCAATTCTTAACTAACCCTTCCAGAGACAACCCCTCTCTTTCTTGGAAATTTAAGTAATTTCAGATAGAGCAGGAAGTAGGGGGTATCTGAACACTGTCAGGAGAGGTGACCTCACCTAACTTTCCAAGTGGCAACCTGGCAGATCAGGGGGCCCAAATGACTTGCCGGCACCTACGAAGACAAATGCATACTTTCCTTCCTCTTTCACTTCTGTCCAAGACCTCCACTTACAATAAAGTACATCAGAGCTTTAATTGCAGCATAAAATATGTTTCACCAGGTATGTTTTCACATTCTTTTATCATGTTCAAGAAATTCACCCTAAGGAGCCATGAAAAACTTTTAATTTTTAATAAATACTGGGCTAGCATGAGACTTCAGGAGGCTCAGGGTTCTGTGCGGTCAGGCGAGCCAGGTGGGCTTTCGAATGGAAGGCACTGAGGGCCAGGGATGTAGCTCAGTGGCACAGCGCCTGCCTGGCAAGTGCGAGATCCTGAGTTCGATTCCTGGTACCTCCGCCAAAAAAATTCTAAACAACGAGTGGAAGGCACTACTGGGGACACTGAAGACTTCAGAGAGCAAAGTAGATGCAGCCTGTGCTCCTCTTTCAAGTCCTCCTAGAGCGTCCTGGGTTGCCACGCTCACACCGTAGAGGGAGACTGCAATCCCGTTGGGCTGAAGTTGTTTTCTGTTACCACACGTTGCATTTAATGTCTTCTTAGAGTTAGCTACATGTAAAAAAACAGCATTCTCATTTTCCTTCAAATGGTAAATGAAAGTTTAGTCTCTGTACCCAAGGTTCTACTTGTGTCTCATAAGCATTTCTGATTAAAAGTCTACTTTTATTACAAATGAAGAGTTCTTCTAAACCAAATCAATGATAGTCAATTATCTGAAATAAACTTTGCCTAAATTTAGAACATGAACTTTAGAACTACTTTAGAGAATATGTTTACCACTCCTACCATGAAATTCTTTCGTACGTGTCAATACAAGGTTTGAAGTTGTTTGAACCTTTACAAATATACAACATATAAATTTATAAAACATTCTCAGTGATAAATCATATATCATCCAGCTTGGTTAGGAAATGGTATCACATACTCCTGAAATACCACAATTCCAGCAAGTATAGACTTGCGAATATTTTCATTTTAGATATGTGTTTTCTCTACATCTTGTCCTTACTTATCACATAAAAAAGTCTGCTGCCATTAAGATTGAAAAATAAACATTTTCATTAAAAAGATTAAAGAAAAAATTATCACTTTCTCTTAATGATTCATAAATGACTTCCAAGTCTTCCTTTCATTCTACTGTATTTAAAAACTCTTCTTCTTGAAGTTTCAATTTAAAGTCTTCTCTGATTTTTTCCAGCAGCCCTGGTTTAAAAATAACATCCAATGCAGTCATTGCCAGAGCTTTGGCCACACGTAAAGCATAGAACTGAGCTTCTTGTGATCCTAAAAGAGAAAAAATGAATTAAAGTATCCCCATAGTTACTAAAGATTAATTTAATTCCTCAAGTTATCTCTCAATATCTAAATCGCCTCTCCAAGTAGGTAGTGAAATAAGAAAGCTACTGCCGGGGGAAAAAGCACACACCAAACATTCATGTCTGAACCTTACCTGCCGCTTCTGTGTATTGTTCAGTGTGATTCAATGCATCAGATCCAATGTAAAAATATGGATGAATTCCAGGAACCACAAAAGTAACATTTCCAAAATCAGTAGATCCTTGGAATACACAAAGTGCAAAACAGATTATTTGGTGAAATACTTTTTTTTTTTTTTTTCTCCGGTACCGGGAACCGAACTCACGACCTTGCGCTTGCTAGGCAGGCACTTTTGCCACTGAGCTAAATCCCCAGCCCCCTTGGTGAAATACTTTTGAACGATGAAATTATAACCAGAAGCCTGTACTCAGCTATAGTTCTCTGCCCTGTTAGACCTAAAGAAGTGAACTTCTTGGCCAGGCATGGTAGCGCACACCTGTAATCCCAGCACTTGGGAGGCTGAGGCAGGAGGATCACTGTGAGTTTGAGGCCAGCCTGAGCTGCAAAGTGAGTTCAACGCCAGCCTAAACTGCAGAGTGAAACCCTCTCTCAAAAAGACACCCACACTCACACAAGAAATGAACTTCTTAGAGAGCTGTCCGTGTGCTCATGCTCTCGCTGCCTCCCCTTCCGCTGCTTTGCTTCCACCTCCACCGCTGGCCCACAGCTCCTTGGACAGTCTCCCGGGACCTGCCTGCCCACCCAACAGCTACGCTCACTTGCCTCCCGGTAGCACTCCACCGTTGCCTGCTCCTTTTCCTCTCATCTGTGAATGCTGATGGCCCTTCCTTTCTCTGTCTCGGGACAGCCTCCTCTGACCATGAAGCGTTACTTATTCAAAGCTCAATTCCAGGCCCCTTTCTTTTCTTAAACTTCATTTTTTCTGGAGATTCTGTCCGTGAGTATTGCTTCAAATAACCACCAACTCAAATTAAGTAATTCTTAGCCTCTTTTAAGCTCCATGCTTGTACATCTAATTGCCAACCTGGTATCTTTTGTTGGATGTAAGTATTTCAAACATATCTGTTGCAGTCAGGTTCACAAAAGAAACAAAACAGGAAACATATTTTATAAGATTATTTTGTAAGAGTTACCCAAAGAGTCACAGAGAGTGCAGGAAATCTGTCCACACACTAAAGACCTACAGAATCCAGCTGAGGGCCTGGATCCCATGACAATGTCCTCCATGATTCCAGCTAAAGACCTAGAGCCCATCACAGTGCCCCCTACGAGTCCAACTGGAGGCCAAGGACTCATGACAATGTCTCACACAAGTCTGTTTTCGCGGATCTGCACTGGGAAGGCCTAAAGGTCAGCGGTGGAAGCTAGAAAGTCTGTGCTAGCAGGTTGAGGAATCCACACTGCGGCCAGGAAGCGATGCTCACATGACGCTCAAAAGTAACAACCCGAGTTCCCCCAAAAGGTACCACAGCCATCCTCAGTGACGACGACAATAAGAACACCTGAATTTGTATTAGGAAAGCCAGCACAACAAGCTTCTCCAGGAGACCGGCAGAGCACCATCTTCCCCTCCAGAGCCAGGAAGCGATGCTCAAAGTAAGGACCAGAGCTCCCATGAAAGAACTACAGCCATTCCCAGTGACAACAAAGTCCCGAGCTCCTTCGATGATGAGAACAGCAACATTCCTATCAGGAAGGCCAGCATGACAAGGTCCTCCATGTTCCTAACAGCATCTCTTCCTCTTTTCCAGGTCTGCCTCTTATGCTGCTGGCAACAATCCTCAGGTGGGCCTCCCACACCCAGCACCACACTGCTCCACTTCAGCTGGGTGTTATGAGTTGACCACCAGTTGTCAATCCACCACAATATCCAAACTAATTCATGATCTCTCTGCCTACTTCCTCTGTCCACTTGTTAGCAATACTTTTCAAATAGTTCAGAATCATAACACTTCTCATCACCTTCACACCTGTCTTCCTTTCCTAAGCGGTCCACGTTAGATCATTTCTTCCTGAACTAATGTAATGGTCTCCTAATTGGTCTAGCAGCATCTACTCCATCTGCTAATATTTTTTTCAATCTTACACAGTCTGACTCCATTCACCTTTCTAACTTGATCTCATAACAAGCTCGCACTTCGCCTCTAGCATCCAGCTGCTCCAGACCCTCATCATGCCCTGCCCCCCCCCAGACCTTGCACAGGTACCCTGTCTTTACCAACATTATTCCTTACTGTTCAAATACAGGTTCAACACCATATCCTTGGAGAAGCTTTACTTTTTACCTCCCTCGTAAGGCCAAGCTGCCCTAGCAAAGGCTGTCACAGAATTGTACTGACTTCCTAATTTATAGTACTTTTCTGTTTTAGTTTTCCATTCATTGAATTATTAGTTAATGCCTGTCTTACACACCAGATCAACAGGCTCAATAAGGTAAGCAATGTATTTTAAATCATCATGCATCTAGCCTTTTACGTGACTGACATTAATATTTGTTGAGTACATTCTAGTAAAGACAAATCCCTATGTCCACTCAGTGTATATTTACAGAATGCTTACGCATCAAACATTGCCAGGCAAAGCTAGACTACACAAGAATAAGTAGTAAGGGAATGAAAGCAAAATATGTTTTGATAGCAGCTAACATTTATCTAGAATTAATATGTTCTAAACATAATTCTACATGCTATTCTCATTAATATTTTGAACAGTTCTCATTTTACAAAGGAGGAAACCCAGGTTTACAGACATTAACTAATGTGCCCATGGTCTCATAGTTACCAGTTATGTGGTAAAGGCAGACCAAGACCAGGCTTTGAGGCTCTATAGAAGCGGACCACTTTAGGAAACATTCACTAAGCACTTCGTGCCAGAAATGGCTCCATACGCTGGGCATACACAAGATAGTAGAGCACCGACAACATGGACAAAAGCCTACTGCATATTTTAGCATCTTACTTGTGGACCTGACCCCAGCCTGGAAATCGCAGCCAAGCACAGCCTTTTTTTTTTTTTTTGAGACAGGGTCTTGCTATGTAGTCCAGGCCGGACTTGAACTGACTATGTAGCCCAGGCTGGCCTCAAACTTACTGTGATCTTCCTACGTCAGCCTCTCAAGTGCTGGGATTATAGGCATGTGCCACCCTCTTTTTGCTACTGTTTTGTCTATTTTATATATAAGGCAAACCCTGGCTGAATCTGACCACATTTTTCCCTGCCTATAGCTAGAATGCACAAACATGCCAGGGGATAAGTGCGGAACCATGAAATTGCCTTGACAACTAATTCACGATCTTTAGTACTGAACTGAATTCTCAATGCTGTTTAGGAAATGCGTGTGCGCATATACACACCCCTCTGATGTCCCTGGCCAACTCCTCTTCATAGCAATTCTCTAGCAGTCCTCCAGCCAACCACCTCAAGGTTCACCATGTACTACCAACAGCTTCTTCAGGAGGATGTCTCTCAACTCCTGCCCTCCTTCCTAAATATTTACCTGCACCTACTTTTGACAAGCATTTCTTTTAAAAATCTACTGCATGTCTCCCACAAGTTTGCATCTGTTCTATTTTACTTTAAAGCTAACTTTCTTGAAGAAGAAGACTCTTTGCTAGCTCCACTGTCTCAATAAACAATAAATACAATAGGTAAAAAAGTCAGATTTTGCATCTGGTCTCACCCAGCGTTCAACTGTGTCTTCCAGACCATCCATAAATTTCTTATTGCTAGTCCAATACAGACCACACTTACGTTATTCAGTCTCTTCAGCACCTGACATATTTATTCCTGTTCTAGAAGTTCTCTACTCCTTTGGTTTCCATGACTCCCCTCTTCCCTCACTATCTGGCTTTCTCTGATTACTCTGTCTCCTTCTCAAGATCCTTTCTTTGCCGTATCATAAATGCTACTGATGCCAATATTTCACTTTGGGCATCTTCTTCCTCTGTGAACTCAGACAATCTCATTAACACCAGTCTTCAATTACATCCACATATTAACAATTCATAAACCTCCACTCTAGACATCTTTCAGAGTTCCAGACTCAAACGTGCTAGGCTGATGAACTGTTCCACTTAGAAATTACATAAGCACCTCAAATTTAACATGCTAACTATATACCAACCCGCCTGGTCCAGGTCCGTTCTTGAATTACTTTTCTCAGTGAATGACAATGACACACCATGTTTATCACCAAGTCCTTTGAGGTCTACTTCATTAATATTTATTATATTTAGGAGATATATCCCTAACTTCCAAATGGATTAGTAATAATATACTTAGAAAAGGAAATAAATCTAAAATAAACCCAAGTACGATTATTTAAATTCTAATAACCATCTGTTACTCCTCAGAATTTGAAAATGCCCCAGATAACTATGTACTTAATAACCTGTTTATAGTGATGACTGAGAACAAATTAAAATTCTATTTCCCATTTTATTATTTTACTTCAAAATTAGAAGTGAATTTAAATGCTAGGAACATTTAAATGTAGACCAAAAAGTGGGTTGGCTGTTGCTCAAAACAAATGTTAATCTGACATTTTATACTCACTGAAGAGTATACTAGCTTCTTTCCTCTGCCTATGAAGTTTGTGAAAATACCATTTAAAACATCAGCAGTACCTCCTCACCTCCAACCATTAATCAAAACCATTTGACCAAAGATGGCATTTTTCTCCCTCAAATAGCTCAATAAATAAAAGAATTTAATTACCTGAAGGGCCATTCAATATTTTATCTTCTGAAATGAACTCTATACCCAGTTTTTTTCCATTCTCCATATAAGTTTTCCATAGGGTCTTATTGGGAAGAACATTGTAGTAATCGTGTGCTCCACCTTTAATTTCTACCTAATAAAAATTACAAAACAGATTTTGAAATAAAAAAACTAAAATTAAGTAATTTCAAACAAGGGCTCATGTTCAAACAGGGAGAGATGTTAAGAGTGGGCGCTTCCCCATCCAGATATAAATTCTCTGAAATCCCTTACTTTAAAATGCATATTTTGTATTTTTTATAAAGAGAGATCATAAAACTCTATCTTCTTATATATGCACCAAACCTTATAATGTCATCAAGCTCTACACTTCTACAAGTGCCAACTTCAATCATCTAAAAAGGGTTTGGGAGAACCCAGAAACTTCAATTTTGATACAAGCACCCCAAGTAATTTCTTGATACAGATGGTCAAAAAATCACCACTTTGTGAGGAACACTGTTCTCGGTTTCATCTTGAAAAGAAAGAAATTGTGCATTACAAACATGCAGCATTCAAACAGACACTGACACCACCGCCTGGTCTGAAAGGGACCCTGAGAAATACAAAAGCCTCACAATGAAGAAGAGGCAGTAATGGTCGTCACTTATTAATTCAAGTGTATGAAAACACAGAAGCAGTTTATGTACGTCTAGTTACACACAGTGATAGGCTTAATTGTGATCAAATCAAAATGGGCACTGTTCTCTCAAACTAGATACCAAAAAAGTCAGCAAAAATTAATCATAAAATAACAGAGTTCACATCTATCTATTCTTGGCACTATCTAAGGTAGAAACAATGCCAACCTAATCAGACCTTACAAGTCAGTCAAAATGTAAGAAATTATTAAAAGCCTTTTAAAAATATAGATTCAAATCTAACAACAATAAGCTCTACACTCAAGGAATATTGTACATTTTCAGCTATTAGCTATTAGTTTAATATGTATTTGATTGTAGTTTGTATCTCGATTCTCCCTCCCCTAAGCTTCATGCACTTACAGGTAGGGCTTTTCAGAGCTAGTGGGACTTAGCGTATATAATACTGGGATTAAGAGTGTGTGGCACTAAGTTAGTCCACTGATTGGTTTAGCATAGTTTCAGGTATAGACAATAGGAAGGCCTACCCTGGGTGTGAGTGGCACCATCCAAAAGGCTGGTAGCCTGAATGGAATAAAAGGGAAAGGGAGGCTTGCTGCCGCCGCCACTTCCTGTCTACCCTGCCATGGACTGTTTCTCCTCTGCCACCCCCCTCTCCCCTACCACCTTGCCTTACAGCCAGTCAACGATGAATTAAAGTCTCTATAAACTGTGAGCTGAAGTAAACCTTTCTTCCTTTAACTTATGGGTACTGGATATCTTTTCCCAGCAATGAAAAGTAACTAATACAATTTTATAAGTAAATATTTAAAATACTGAACATAAAGTGTCTTAGTTACTTTTCTCATTGCTGAGACAAAATATCTGACACCCACAAGTTAAGGGAGGAAAGGTTTATTTTGCTCACAGTTTGTGGAAGTTTCAGTCCATAATCCACTGGCTCCAAAGCAGGATGACACACAGTAAAGGGTTAACAGTTTATGGTGGCAGAACACAGCAAAAGCAACAACCAGAGAGAGCAAGACAAGCTTCTTTCTGTCCCTGATGTAGTTTCCCGTCTACTGGGATTAGGGCAGTGCCAATCAAATTGATGTGTTGATCCAGAAGCCACCCACGTTTAATCCCAGCATTGCATTATGAATCAATCAAATGCTCTGGAAAAGCCCACCCCCCATAACTGCATGAGGCTTTGGGGGGACATCTGGAGACAGACCACAACATAAAATTTTACGTTCTTATCTTTGCTGACTACACTCTCTGAGAGCTCCGACTCTGTCCTTCACATATCTGAAAGTATTACAATCATCCTTCAAATCTCAATTCAGATGTAGTCTTCCATGAGACCTTCCTCTTAGCAGGACCAGAACACAGCTTTCCCATCTCAGATCCTTCCTGCCATTTACTATGCTATTCCTAGAACACTTAACATACACTGTCTGGGAGTTACTGCTACTGTGAGACAATGCTATGTTAATAAATCACACTTCACTAGACCAGTAAGTACAGGAAAATCTAAGTAATACCTATGAAGGCTGGGCTCTAACTTCTTCACAATGTCTGATTTAACTCTCACTAGAACCCTAAGATAGATAATGGTATTATCTCGATGTTTTTAAGTAAGAAAACAGAGGTCCAGAGATAGTAAATGCTTCTAAAGGCTACAGAATTAGCAAGGCTGAGACACAGGTACAAGATCTTATCTCTCCAGCTAAACTAAGTGCAAGATTCTTATTTTACATAATTCTAAAACTTATCCTACTTTATATCATATAGTCTGATACTTAAATATTACTGAATTTACTGTTCAACTCAACAGAACATTGTGACTACCTTCTGTGTCTATTTTAACTTCCATTCCAGCCAGCCATAAGTGTTTATACACTTTCCGTATCACTACATCAAAAACAGCTTTTGTAGATTTTGTCATAAAGCTTTCTATCTAGGCACTACCGTATATGAAGCAATTCTAAAAGTGTATCTGCCAATACACAAGGATATACCTGCAAAAAGGCAGGGGTTCTAGTGCAACAGTAACCACATCCAAATTATTGTAATTACTGTATAAATAAAGTGACCTATAGTTTTCATATTGCAGACATTGAATAAGATGCATAATAATTAAAGACATTCACATTATTCAGCCAACTATTTTGCATATTTGAGACATCATTAACAAACATAAGGCCCTGGGTTCAACCTCCAGCACCAAAGGCAACAACAAAAACCATTACCCAAATGAAAAAGAGGTAACTTAGGTTTCAGTCTAACTTAATGTAAACAGCCCCAATCCACATATATACCTCTGATTATAATTAACTCTGAAAAGTTCTTACTGTACAGCCTGTGGCCAAAGCTGCAGCTCTGAAGCAATCTTCTGCCTTTTTAGTCAAATCTCGAAGTTCTTTCATTGAGGGTGCACGGAAGTAATAAATTAATTCAGAATAAGAGGGAATGATATTGGGCTTTACACCACCATTTTTTATTATACCTATAAAAAGAACCAAATTACTGGAATTAAGCTCGGTGATTGTTATTTTAAGCTTAAATATACTCAAATAAAAAAATTTAAATTTATTAGCTTTACTAATATACTAATTAAAGATATTGACATGTTGTACAAATTAATACAGAGGATGATTATTTTCCAAATAGGAAAAAAATTGACTATATTTTTTGACTCTCTCTAAATTATCTAGATTGTAAGGAATCTAGATAATGTCCAGAAATTATAAAGGAGGTGTGTGACATAGCTGAGGACCAGAGAGCTTGCCTAGTATGTGTGAGGCCCTGGGCCTGATCCCAGCACTACCAAAAAAACCCCCAAAAATCCCACAAAGTTATAATCTAGATAGGAAGCAGGTAAAATTCCATTACAGACTAACTTTAGCCTACAGCAAATCAGATAAAGAAAGAATAGTTATATATAACAGTTTCCTAAATCATAAGAAATAAACTAAAAAATAAAATTTGTACCTTCGAGATACTACTTTATTACTGCATTTATATTATGGTGATACACATAATTTTAAATTATTTTATTCAGAATTTAATAGCACTCTGGTTTTAAATAAAACCAGTAATCACTACATCTTAGGTTGAGGAAATGACAAAACCTTGTCATTGTTAAGACAGGGGAAAATCAATTTCAACTTTTAAATACCCACAGAAAGAATGTAGCTACCTACATAAAAACTTTTATATATTAATGTACAACAGTCCTGTCTTCCTATCCATATATAAACGTCGTAGTAGCTGGTCACATCATTCTCTGAAAATATGATTAAATTTTTTAAAATATTCATATGAAGCACATAAATTATTTCCAAGTGTTTTTTTAAAAAATCAAGTATTACATAATTATATTTCATTGAAATATATTAAACACCATCTGTTTTGCGAAGTATTTGACATTCATACCATGAGCTCTCCAGGCTGGTTTCATTTGCTGTCTTAACACAGATAGGTTGTTGTAGGCAAGAACTGCAGCATCTAAGGCATTTACTCCTTCCCAAGGGTAAGCAGCAGCATGAGATGCCTTTCCATAGTATTTCACAGTCACACTAGGAAAAACATCATCTGAAATTACTTTCTCCAGTATCCCTAACGTAAAAAAAAATCCAGCTGGGCATGGTGGCATACACCTGTAATCCCAGCACTCAGGAGGCTGAAGCAGGAGGATCACTCGGAGTTTGAGGCCAGCCTGGCCTGTGTAGAGAGTTTAAGGCCAGCCTGAACTACACGTTTCAAAAACAAAACAAAATCCAAGGAGAATTACTGTTATTCAAAAATAATTGATTGCTAAAATTTTGATTTACAAGTCACTTATAGCAAAAGCACTGTAATTCATTTATGTTATACTTTATACTTTTATTATGTAACAGCATGCCTGATACAAAGAAAGCATTCCAAACAAAGAGAAAGGGAATTTTGCTCAACCTTCTGCAGGTTAAATAGTACACAAAAGAAGAATCTTGTCTTCTTTTACACTGTATTATGATGGTTCTTTAAGTCTACAAAACTGCTGATAATTCTGTCTTAAGGAAGGAAGGTCAGAAGACAAAAAGTGACATTTGAAATTAAGACAATGTCTGAAAATCAGATTATACTCACAATGGTATTCAAATTCTATATTCTGGCTCAGGGAATAATTTATCCTCTTTGTCAAGAACCAAATTAAAGTAAATAAAATGGAGAGGTACATTTTCTTTCCAACTGTTTCTTACAAATCTTTTCAGTTACAAAGGCAATTTCATTTCAAAGGACAGCTATTTTCCAAAAGTCATCTTACTTTTCAGAGTTCAAAATAGACTGTAACTGTCAATATTTTTTGTTTTTTAATTTTTTTGTTTTCTTTGTTTTGTTTATTTTTGGCTGTATCAGGGACTGAACCCAGGGGCTTCACACCAAGCTACAGCCCCAGTCCTTTTATCTTGAGACAGGGTCCCCCCACTGTCTAGGTGGGGCTCACTCTCAATCCACCTGCCTCAGCCTCCTAGTGTGCTTGGATTACAGGGTATGGCACCATGCTGAGATAACTACATTATTCCTATGTTTTAGGGTATTATTTTAATAGTCCATTTCTGATAAAAGCCAAAAGTCATCCAGTGTAAGTCAAGATACCGTATCAACTTTCAACTTACTTTTTGTTTTTGTTTTTTTTATATATGGGGTCTTACGATATTTCCCAGGTTAGTTTTGAACTCATGACCTCAAGTAATCCTCCCACTTCCTGAGTAGCTGAGATTACAGGTACATGCTACTGTGCCAAACTCAATTTACTTTTTAACCGTGTAAACGTGAAAATTTAATCTCTGACTTAGACATAGAAGCACTCCACAGCCTGTCTTCCACTAAGAAGGTTATCTTCAGCTTGATTACGTACTCATGTTCAGCCACATCTAGTAGATAAGCAGCATTCTCTTGGGATGGATGGGCCATAAAAACAACATCCAGGTTCTTAAAAGCACCTGCTTCAATTAAATCAATCTTGCCACCCCCATCCTCTTCTGCAGGGGTTCCCAAGACGATTACCTAGAAAGAAATACCTGTATCAGAGCAAAACAACAACCAAAAGTCCTAGTAGGAAAATATCAAACAGGTTCCCTGACGTATGCATCCACAATCTACATCAAAGCCTTTAAACTATGGATAGAGGTTTTGTTCTATGTTTCTACAGCTGGTGTACACGTACAATTATTATACTAATTTGGTGCAAAGAATGAACTAGAACATTTCCCCAATTTTTTAACAGCAAAAATTTTTAAAAAAGAAACGAATACTTAGTTCTTCAAAATTTGTTAGGATTTATACCTTAAGGCTTACTCACGGCTAAGCTATTTAGTACATGTACGTAATTTGTAAGCATGGTATTGGTAGGGAAGTTGCCAGGGACTTGTTAGTTATCCTCACAACAACCCTGTGAGGTAGGTGAGTGATCTTTTAGGAAGGGTGATTTCGAGAAAGAGTAAAGTGTCATGCCGCAGGTCACAGGGCAATTCTTCAGGCAGAGCTGAGATTATTTTGCATAGATTATCTTGATCTTTAGGCCTGAACTATCTACTTTAAAAGTCTTAACTCCTAATCCTTTATGAAGAGCATCAAACAAATCTTAATACCATGGTTAAATAGCCAACTGTTACACAAACTTACTAAATTCGATTCCACCAGTTCAATCAGGCAGATTTACTGGTCACCAAACACCTAATCAAACAAAAAAGAACTTTACAGAATAAACATTTTACTTTGATATTTAGCTTAACTTCTTCAAACAATTTTAAAAACCAAAGGAAAAAAATAGGCATAAACAACTACAACACAATAAAACAAGGTAGAAGCGTCTTGGCTTGCAAAGAGAATCAACATAAATTCCATTTTTAGATGAAACAGTTAATCTTGCTAAAACTGAGCACTTGAAATTGGATGTTGGTGCAGTTCTCAGAGCTTTCTTTGTAAGTTATACTCAAACTCTTAAACTGCTCTTTACTCTTTATCGTTGACTTATTAAGTCTGATGAGTCTCCACAATCTTTATAAACCTGATTAAAGACAAATCCAGATTTTCATCCAATGGCAATGGACCTCTCCCCTCCCTAAAACAAAACCCTAACCAAATGCAAAAAAAAAAAAAAAAGCCCCCAGAGGCAGAAAAGAACAGAGCCTAACAGCAGAGGCCACAAGAGATGGAACTGTTAGAATAAAATCACTGACGCTGGAAAAAACGGACTAAAGAATATTAAAGCATTTGTCTTCCCCTTAACCTGGTGATGATGATTGAATCTTAAGTATCACAGAACGAAGATTACATCATCTGGAAAAATAGAGCAGCACAAGATTAAACTTGCCTGACAAATATAAACGACATTCACTTGTTGAAAGAATCCAGCTATTAAAATTGAAAAATAAAAAATTAAGGCTTAGGGATGAACTCATCAGGGAAGTAAACGTTTATTTGCTTTCCCATTGTGTGTATACTTCTAGAGGTTTGGCGGCTCCAGCGACTGAAAACCCCGCATCCAAATTCCAATTGCTGAGATTACAGCAGCTCCTCGGACTGCCGCAAACCAAAGATTCTTGGGAGTCTGCAGAGGGGCCGGAGGTTCTCCTACAAAATTACTTCTTCCAGACATGACACAACCGTGTCAGCAGACTACGGTGGCCTGTCAGTTACCGAAAACGACCCGTACGAAAACCGGGCTTGTTCAATTTGTTTCCTAAGGACGAGGTAAGGAGTCGTGCACGGACTCAGAGACGACCGCAGCCCGCGGGGCGCCGCGGCGGGCAGCTCCGAGCCGTGACCGCGTCTGCGCCGCCCGCGGAGC